GTCACAAGGCCATAGACAAGGCCATTTCTAACGCAGGCAAGATCTCGTTCCTGGACCCAGAATTGTAATCTACATACACGTACCTCGTGTGAGATTGAGAGCCGGTCTTGCGACTCTTTGCGACACTTCCATTCTAGAAAAAAGAAAAAGAAAAAGAAAAAGAACAAGACGGTTCCTCCATGGTCGGCCGCCTTTGTACCGTCAGCAGTAAAGCCACCGCCGAGCTGTGATCCCATATGTTCTTTCATTGGAGCGAGGCGAAATCTATGCTGGCGCAAGCATGTGGTCGAATAAGAATGTCTCCAGCCTGCAAAAGACCTACGATGAGAGCTACTTGAAATGCTCAACAGCTGTATATTACGAGAGCCAGGTACGTCTTACATACAGTTGCCGCTCGAACACGGCTCAAATACCCCCGCAACCTTCTTGCAACCTTATTACTGAGCCGAAGAACTGACTCCATACAAATGTACCCAGGGTGATGAGAAGGAGGCTATGCTTTGTTGGAAGAACGCCCTCGACCAGATATGCCAGAACCCTACCCACAAGAAACAGCCCAACTACGTTCCCAAGTCCGAGACCGAGAGTGCTCTGCTAGAAAGTCTCAGAGAGCTGGAGGTGCAGTGTAAGGAGAGAATCGATCTTCTGGAAGCTCTGAGGCTATCTCGAGAGGAGGACACCACGTTGAATTCCACGCAATCGGGCGTAGGGCTCGAGGGCAATATGAATAATCGATCGCATGCCAACACCCCAGAAAGAGGATTCATTGGTGATGGGACAATACCTGCTATAACATACCCAGAATTATCCAAGCCACCGCTTCCGAGACGACCCTCGTTCCCTTCCAGAACTTCGTCCGAGAAAGCTGTTGCAGGTGGCCGTAGCAGGGTAGTTGAGTTATCCACGCCCTCCTCTTCTTCGTCTGCTCGGCCGCCTTCACTACCTCCTTATGGCGTGTCCTCGTCCAGAAGGCGGACTTCAAGATCGCCCAGCCCCGACAAACGCACTATGCGAACGACACTTCGATCAGGCAAGCTAGACAGGTCCTCGAAACCATCTCGACAGACACCGTCCAAGATAAGCAAAGGCCCGGGAGCGAGCAAGGCAGCCACTTTGGCTTGGAGCAATATTGGGTCGAGGGATAATCTCGAGAGGGGCACCACTGCGGATACAAGAAGTTTGCCTCCGAAAGTATCTGAATCACGGCGATCCTACGAACAAGACCGAACCAATTCCCCATCCAACCATGGCAGACATTGGGATAGCCACACGAGAAGACTGCTGATTTCTCCAGAGAATCCGCCTGTTGGTAGTCCTGGTGTACGTTTGAGCCCTGACTCCCCTGTGCGAGATCCGACAGACTACTCGTCTGCCAAACCATCTTCTCTTGCTCTAGGCGCTGCCTCAAGCGCCCTGAATGCGCTATCTATTCAAGAACGGCAAGAATTGAGTCCGATGGTGAGTCGAAGGGAGCGAGGCTCGACATCTATGAGAAGAACCGGCTCGAATCAAGATGAACCAGGAGGTATTCCCGGTTCTGCTGCGGAATCGCTAGAAGCCGCCCTCCGAGTTAGTTCGAAAGAACCTGTAGGAAGGCGAAAACCTGTCGATCGTAGTCAATCCTTTGAACCGAATAGCGCTCGGAAGCGCGTAGGCCGGCAGACATCTAATCAAGATTGGAAAGACGCCATCTCCAGCGACGAGGACCTCAGCGCAGGCTCTTCTCGTTCCAAGCTGAAGGGCAAACAAAAGGAGACCGCACTGCCTGCTGATACTGATATGCAATCCTCGACAGACTCAACTATTGAAGACAAGAAAACGAAGAATGAATGGAGCGAGAGGAAGAAAACAATACTCAAGAACCTCCCGGCGGGCGTAGATGAGGCGGCAGCGAAGGCCATATTTAACGAAATTGTGGTCCAAGGCGATGAGGTTCACTGGAGTGACGTCGCTGGTCTAGAAGTTGCCAAGAATGCATTGAGAGAAGCGGTAGTCTACCCCTTCTTACGCCCAGATTTGTTCATGGGTCTCCGCGAACCAGCCAGGGGCATGTTGCTTTTTGGGCCTCCGGGAACAGGAAAGACCATGCTCGCTCGCGCCGTCGCGACGGAATCGAAGTCCACTTTCTTCTCCATTTCGGCCAGTAGCTTAACGAGCAAATACCTGGGCGAGTCCGAGAAGCTCGTGCGTGCCTTGTTTGCACTAGCCAAAATGATGGCGCCGAGCATCATATTCGTAGACGAGATCGACTCGCTTCTCTCGCAGCGATCTGGATCAGGGGAACACGAGGCGACTAGGAGGATCAAGACCGAGTTCCTTATCCAGTGGAGCGACTTGCAGCGAGCGGCGGCAGGACGTGAGAGTCCGAGTGCAGGTAGAGACCGAGGTGATGCCAACCGAGTGCTCGTACTAGCAGCTACCAATCTCCCATGGGCGATCGACGAAGCAGCAAGACGGAGATTCGTGAGACGCCAATACATTCCCTTACCTGAGGCGGAGACCAGGAGTACGCAGTTGAAAACCCTGCTTGGCCAACAGAAGCACAGTCTCACAGACACCGATATCGCAGAGTTGGTGGATTTGACAGATGGTAAGATGAACCTGGCGATCAGTGTATTACGATATAATGCTAATCTACCATCTATTTAGGCTTCTCTGGTTCAGATATCACCGCCTTGGCTAAAGATGCCGCCATGGGGCCCCTCCGTTCATTGGGCGAGGCTCTACTGCACATGACCATGGATCAGATCCGGCCCATCGAGCTTCGAGATTTCAGGGCCAGTCTCAGCCTGATCCGCCCTAGCGTTAGTAAAGAGGGATTGAAGGAATACGAGGATTGGGCAAAACAGTACGGAGAGCGCGGCGGGTAGGATGGCTGGAAGACCCGAATGAAACACATTAAGCGTAGAGTTGATTTTCAATGGCGGCGGGATAGGATGGATGGGTGGATTGGTGCAACAACGGCGTTTTGGAGGGGATCAAGGGGGGGGGGGGGGGGCGGATGAATTGGCATACGATACCTAAGGTGAAGGTTCCAATACGTTTTCCTGTTGATGCATAACCGTTCTTAGTCAAATCGCGGTTGTACATTATCTTACATGGTTAGTATATACAGATTTGCCAAATGCTGCCCACTTTGCTACAAGCGTTCCTGGAGGCCATTTTGATATTGTTCGTAGAGCCCAGCCATCCAGCCGGTCCACCTACATATCTCATTTTCAATCTACATCAGATGCAGGATTGGATACACCTCCAGGTGCTTCTCTGGATGGTGCACCCGGTACCCTGGCGGAAGCAAGCCTCACAGCTCTCGCAGCCTGCCGGAGCGCCCTCCTAACCTCCGTTTCCATCGTTTCTACCTCCTTGGCCCGCGCTTGCATTTCCTTTGTCTGTGCCCTCCGCTCGTCCTTAGCAGCTCGCTTGGCCTCCCGCTCCGCGACCCTCTCTTCTAACGTCGGCACGGGCGGTCTCCCTTCAATAGGCTCGCCGAACGGCGCGATGATGTGCTTTACTACGTGGCGCACGTGCTGCGAATACCGCCAGCTCGAGGTTATGGCCACAACATCGCCTTGGCGGACTGAGTTTGCCGGGTCGTGGACTAGCTTGAATCGTGGCTCTTTGAAGTACTGTGGGTGAGTTGGTGGTTAGCTGGAATTCGGCTACACATCTTCTGCTTGATATGTCCTCGCAAAAGATTGGCGGGCTTGAGTGGTAGGATGGATGCATGTATCAGCGAACCTTTTGCACTCGAGGCTCCCACCGCAGCCCTCCCAGCTTCACCTTCACGGTCTTGTCCATCAGGCCGGCCGATACCACAACGCCGTGCATTTCTTTACCTACCCGTCGCGCGGTGTTGGCAGCGGCGGCCGCTAGTTCGGAAGCCATTCTGGGTATCTTTCTTATGTCTCAATGCGCTTGCTCGGTGTTGATCTCAATTGTTATGTTTCCCCAATGCCGTTTTCGTTGAGGCTATCGTAGCTGGCATTGGCGCAACGTCGCCGTGGGATCGTATGTAGGATAATAGCTCCCAAAATTTTTAGAGGACCCAAGTGGGATAGATGCTGTAATTCGCTTGGTGGCCCGAGCGCCAATGACGGCGACCCACCCCGACAGCTCGGGTACCTGGACGGCACCGGAATGCTTCCGTCCATATTCACATCAATTTTGACGACCGTTCACTTCATATATCACCAGGTAAGGAGGGTAGGTAGTTACGGACAGTCAGGACTTCCTATACCTATTAATGCTGCATTGATGCAAGCAGCTCAGCAGTAGTCTTAGAATCTTTATTTATTTTGTAAATGTTTATCATAAGTGTTGTCTGCACCATACATGATAATTGGTCTTTGATTGGTGAGGCTTGCATTACAGCAAAAACATCAATTGCGAATAATGATCCGGCAGCGTCACAAGCCTCCAGAATCAGTCTCTTGACCTTCTGAGTACGACAGAAGAGAATGCTTTAATTCAGCAGTATTAGTCTATTATTGAACATGGCGTCACAAATGTATTCAACCACTCTCCAACCTTCAGATTCCCTTCTATAATTTCTACCGGGCACGTAGATATGCAAGTTCTTAGCTCACACAAAGGACTATTTGCTTGGAATTGCATACTTAGCTGTGTAAGACTAATGCATGGACCTCTTCCTAATCCCTTCACGCAGGGGTTGGTTGATTTTACGGACTAGAAATCCCAGTAGGTATTGCTACACTGGAAGTGATGGGCCGATATATATAAAATATTTACATTAGGGAGGTGATTTACATATTCAATCAGATCGAATGTGTAGTGCCTTGCCCTTAATTGTGGCCAGTAAATGGTGGGGTGGAAGTATTTGTGTGTCTAGGGAATAGCTGCACTTGTGACTTATTCTGCTATGATGTTGCAAAGGTACCTGGTTTCTACTACCAGCCTGGTGCCTGGTGGGCCTGGAGAAAAAAAATATTCACCTGTTATGTACAATTACTTGAGGAAAGAAGGCAAAAGTTAATGCTGTAGGGTGCCTAGGGGATTCGAACCCCTGACTTCTCCGAAGAACTATATGTAGCCCAAACGGAGCGCGATAACCACTTCGCCAAGGCACCGACATGCTTGATGATACCTGAGCAGCTGCTGTTTTGATATATATTGGTCGGTTGCTTGGAATCCCAAGGAAGGTACCGGCTTTACTTAGGGCCGCCGAGCTTGGGGGGGGGGGGGGGGGGGGGGGGGGCGGCGGCGGGGGGGGGCGGGGGGGCGGGGGGGGTTGCGTTTCTAAAACCAGGAAAAAAAACCAAGAAGTGAACAGAATAAA